GCTCAGAACTTCACGAGCTCCTTCCAGTCCTGGGCTGCTGTCGAAACCCCACTGCTGACTTCGCCAGATGATCTCAGCCACACTTCAACAGGGACCCCCGAGACTCTTCACACTCAATGGACAGCCCTGGCCTTAGCCCATCACTCAAAATCGCCAAACCCAAGCACCCAAAGGCCTTCAGCAGCTCCTTTGCGGCCTCAAAGTCCTGGGATGCTCGTCCCCACTCCTTGGAGCCACGAGACGTTGCGGCTGTCGAGCATCCAGTTGCTCAACACAGTAGCTCAACACAGGTTGGGCCACCCTCCCAGTCAAGGGTGATAAGCTGATGTTTCCACTGCCACATCCCTATCCCCACCCCCATACGAAAGTCAAGACTCCTTGTTGAAGCCATCCACACCCACGGTGGAGATCTTCTGGGAGAATTCTCGGGCCTTGTTGTAAGCCGGGGAACCTTCGGCACCAGAGAAGTACACCATGTCCTGCCGAGATGTTGCTGCGAGTTGGAGTTTGCCTCGAGCCTACAGTCTGCAATTTCCGATGCATGTGGCAGTTCTGGTGCTTCGCTCTGCACATCTTCCGCCCTGGATGAGTTGGTAGGGAGTCGCCACGGCTTCTGTCCGACTGCTACACTTGTGTAGCTGCTGCGCCGGAGTTTGCTTTCACATTAAGAGGTCCGAGATACCCAACCTGCAAGCTCCACGCGCAATTCACCAAGCCCATGACTTTCTGTCACCACCAACCCAAAAACACCTCCGGTTGAAGAGGCATAGTGGAAAGGCTGCATGGTCAATGGGCTGCTTCTGGTGTCGGCGCTTTCTTGTGTCACCTCAACAAGATTAGACTTTGCTCAATGGATCAGAAACCGTGCATCGAAAATCGAGCAACAAAAGCGTAGCACCTGATGAGAAAAGTTAGCCCCACCCGGAAAATCGAAAGTGGTTGCACTTTGAGAGAGAGAGAGAGAGAGAGAGCTGCATGCATGACTCCATGCCCCGAAATCGCCACACTGGAAAACCGCCCACAGCTACGTGCATTGAACCCGAAGCAATCCCAAACCTCAAGCACTGGAGTCGCACCAACACCGTTCACAGCTGCATTGCACCCTGCAGCACACTATAGAGCCGTCTGAAGCTGCATTGAACCCATTCCAACAGCCTCAAGCCTGTCAAGTCTTGATTGTCACAGACGGGTCTTGCAGCCGGAACAAGGAATCTTTGCCGTTAAGTCAAGAGTCGGAAACTGTTAAACCGCATGCCCCTGCAAACCTCGCGTGCCAGGAGGAAATGCATCTTGAAGACCCCATCTGCCCCAGCATCTTGAAGCCCGTTGTGATACTAGGCCCGTCCTGCTTGAAGCCAGCAGCCTCCTGGAGGTTGGAGGTCAGCTGCTGCGACTGCTTCGTCTTGATGTAAAACTGGCAACATCGATGGGCTGTCACATGCTTGCTTCGATTGGCAGAACCTAGCAGCTAGCAAAAGCCACGCGCATGAAGGGAGACAGAGGAAGACAAAGCGGAGACCAAATCCAAGAACCCGGCGAGAGCCACCCACAAGAAGGGAGACAAAGCGGAGACAAGGAGTCCAAAGATCCGGGCAAGAGCCAAACCCTTCGGACCCCCACAAGCCGCTCTTTTTTAGTCGAAGCCACCCAGACACCAAGCCCACCGAAGCCCCCCAAACGCTTCTAAGTCAGTCAAAGCCCACTCAGACCCCAACACTAAAGACAGTACCACTGTATTGTGAGTATGTGCGCATGTCACGACCTGCAAGTCAGTTTTTAGTCCAGGTTTCAATGGGACGGAGACCCTGGCAAAACATCTGGCTGCTTGCGGCTTTACCATCACACATGGTCTCTCCACCCTCTCACTCTCACCCGCAGGCTTCAACATGCAAGCATGAAACATGAAAGGCAGGACACCCAAACCTGGAAAAGTCAGGGCGAACATGCATTTCATCGTGTGATGCGTTCGATGTTACACGATACGTTTATGAGTTTATGCTTGACTTGAGACTGTTTCGCTCGAACCAACTACCTTGCTAAGCGTCGCGTTGTGGTGCACCCTGTGCTGTTCGCTGTCATCCCAAATGCTGCTTTTGCTTCTTGCATGTATTGCTGCATGTATGCATGCATGCATGCATGCAAGCCATTGGTGTAGAAAATTGTGAAACTGACACGCCAAATACAGTCTGCCAGGACTTTCCTCTTGTACCACCGACGAATTTGTCAGAACTCGCACTGCATGATGCGGACAAGATATGCATGTCAGACGACAGCGGCCACAGCCTGATTCCGAAGATTGCTGAGTATGTGCTCCATGAGTTTACGAAGATAATTGTGTAGCAGCATGGTATCTGGTACAAGCAAGAGATCACGAAATGACCTCGTTCATTGTGTAGTATGTTTGCAAAGCCGCATACCATGCAGTACACCTGCGAGACATCCTGGTTCCACTTGCGAGAAGGGTGGGGTAAGGTAATGGACTGCCACACAAGGATTCCAAGGTAGGGCTGCAACTGCACAGCACGCAGATATGCACATAGAGCAAGACATGCTTGATGTTGACGTGATGTGTACGGCCATACAGCCCTAACTCAGTGCAAAGGGACGGCGGTCTTGTCGAAACGCTCGAAGGAGTTCGCCAGGGCCTTCTTCCTGCGCGCCACCTGCGAAAGGAGGAACTCAGAGCCTTCAGGTATCAAGTTGGGATTGCCGGAGTGAAGAGGTTTCAAAGGCTACAGCACAGCTAGGGCCTAGGAGCCAACACTTCGAAGAGGAGCCCCTGTAGGTCCAAAAGCTCCCTGGTCCGCTGGTGCCTCCTGGTCGGTGCGGGCCTTGTAGACGGACTCATCTCCAACCTCGCCTTTGCTCCGTGGATGCTCATCCCTGTAGTCAGAGCATCCCAATATCTTCTTGACATGTTGCGTCTCGCACTATTTCGATAAACGCCTTGGGATCAAGAAGCGCCATAACTAACATGCTGAAACCATGAAAGAGCAAAGTCACTGAACTGCGAGTACGGGTTGATCGGGTTGTCGTTCTGGTTGTAGACATCAGAGACACCGCCTGCGAGTCGGATTCTTGCCGCTCGTGGAAGGCCTAGTCAAGTTACATAGCAAGTTTTCAGTGCCGCCTATGCCATGCTTCCTGACTATCGCACGGGGGCAATCTTAGTTATAGACAGAGTTCAACGAATACGTTTGAATTGCGAACCAATTTCCTGTTGCGCGAGCGCAGTACAAATATGCAAACTTCTGAGGCAAAGCCCGAAGCCGCAGAACTTCCATTCCACGTCTGTAGAGGGTGACGCTGGGGCTAGCAGCTAGCAACAATCCGGTCAAAACCCGCATAGGATCAACCGCTCCATTGCCTAGAGGAATAAATGCGAGATGTGCCTTTGAGGCCTTCAGGAGCGCAAAGGAAAGGAGGCGTGCTGCAACAAGCAGGTAGATGGCCGGATGAGTAGACTGGTCCGGTGTGTCATTATGTACACAAAAAAGAGCACTTGCTGGCACAAGCTTCTCTGCCATTGCTGTCGTCCTGCAGGACATTCCTAAAACTACTCAAGTCCGCCAAGACAATACGAGACCAAGAGCATCTCGTATCCCGCCTAATCGCCAGCATAAACAGCAGGGCTGCTGACCGTCCGAACCTCTGCACAAACCTCGACCCCGCTCCACAAGACCTGCAACACCTACGAATCCAACACTGCCGGGTCAAGAGCATGTTTGCCCAGTGTCAACCGTGCACTTCAGGACGTTGTGACAGTGACATGACAGGAACAGCTCGGAACACTCCATAACACTCTGTTCCCACAACCCCGGACGCACCTCCGAGGCCGAAGAAGGACAGCTTCGGGCTCTCCGCCTCCGATGCTGTTAGATCGGGCTGGATCACGCGTCGTTGTGGTTTTGCGCTTTGTGGGGTTTTCTTTGTCAGATTCAGCACGGGGCTCCGTGTCGTCGGCTCGGTGTGGATGACAAGGGAGACACTAGGAAGACTTCAAGAGATCTTACACGTGTGTGGGCTTCGAAAGGCACTCTTGAGCCCTGCAGAAACATGCTTGTCGTGATGTCTGCAAACATCCCGAAAGAAACTGCGCTTCACTCCTGTTCCATTCCAAAGCTCGGGCTCGGGCTCAAGAGATCACAAGCCGGAAATTTGCTGGTTGAGAAGAGCTTGAACCACAAAAGAAAATCTGACGGACCTGGGCTGGTCCCGGAGCTGCGACGCTGGCTGCTATAAGGGCCGCTGCCATCGTTGCTGCGGCCTTCAATGCAATCATCTTCCGTAAAGCCTTTACCGGCAGTTCTCCGCGACTTGATTTTCCCACAGCTTGCTGTCTGGGCCTGACATGAGTCTTCCTTCAGATGAAGGCTGTAGCACCCCGTGCCGCTACCTAAGTGGCACGCGGCCATAGCCCGGAAGCCCATGTCTTCAAATCACTATAGGAACGTCTTACGAGGTTCATTATGTATGCACCCGGCAAGGACACCAGCTTATAGCTGGCACAGAAGCCGCGGATGCCGAAACCATTGGAAACTATCCGACATGTCGACTAGAGCAGGGCAACCTCTTGGCATCGTTTCAGAGGTATTTCAAACAACTCTGACCTTACTTAAATTCACGGAAACAACGGGACAAAACCGCTTACGCCATAGCCTCGCCCCTCAGCTTCGGGGTTACGAAGGCATCCTCCTGGCGGCGAAAGAGCCTCAAGTGCGAGGAGACTCTGCGAAGTCAGCCAGACTTTGAAACAGTGGTTGGAAGAATGCCTCCTGCACACCCGAACCCACTGATCGGGCCAACTTGAGCTGACACGAGAGACTAAGGGTCAATTTCAAAAAGCCCGACGCCCACATGCCCAGTGGCTGCAAAACTGACACCACGCCGGCCACCAGCAGGGCCTGCTGCACATGGTGGAACAAGCTGGTCAACGGATCGCAGCTGCGACGCTCCTGCAATTCCATCTTCTCTCGACTTTCCCACCGATGAACCTGCCTTGGACAGCAGCGAGGTGCGAGCCATTCTTGCTCTTTTGGTTTGGAGGGAGGGCCGAACAAGCAGATCCAGCTGGAAGCCGAAGAAGTGGCTGCACGAGGACACCCATCTTCTGCATGCCCACAAACACACACCGATCTCCCGGATAAGTCATAAACACAGTGGTTACAGCTGCACATCCGAACGTCCGACCTGCAAGCTTGAACCCAATCCAGAACCACCGAAGCTCTCCTGACCGCGCCGATGTCTGCTTCCAAGGCCTCTTCCAACTCTTACAGTAGTCTTTAGTCTTGCTCAAACTCGCAACATTTAGGCTGTGGCGAAATGCCAACACCTGCGGGCAGCATCAGTGAAAGTTGCACAAGCTTCGGCCCAGTCGACACCCCCACATCGAAGCGAAGCTACTTTTTTCCCCGACCGCTACTTTGCGGGAGGCAGTTGTGCGCTGAGACACATCCTTCCGCGAGTTCTCAAGCCGGAACACGTGCACTCCTTCATCATCTCGACCTAGCTCCTTTGCATGATGAAGCCAACAGTCCGAAATGGATGCCTCCTTTAGTCTGGCGATGTCGATCTGTGCTGCATCTGAGGAGGCTTGTGGCTTCCAAGGCTTCGAGGCGAGTCGCAGAATGAAAGTTATAGGAGGGCATTAGGTCCGTTGCATCGGCTGCACGTGGGTGCCGTGACGCAGGCCTTGCTCTGCAACCGGCTTTTGTGTTGTTTTCTAGTCTGGTTGTACATGTTTATAAGGTTAGACTTCAAGATGACGAAGATGGAAGGACAAGGCCAACATTCCAGAAGTCGGCAGAGTGCTTCAGCTCCCCAACACGAAGAACAGCAAAGGACGAAGAATCTCAAGATGCGCAAGCGAATGCCGTTGCAGACCTCTCTCGATGATGAGTTCCCCGTTCTGCGTCCTGGTAGTGGCAGGCGTGCCTTGTCTTCAAACGAATCCGTCAGGGTGTAACACAAGTGCGAGTGTGCACTGTTTGCGCACGGGGTCGTGGGTATGACACGACACTCAGGACCAATGGGAGCTGCTCACGGCCACTACCAGCACAACTCTCAAGCTTCAGGGCTCTGAAACAGCTAGAGTAGATATAGTCAACTTAGTACAAGACTGGCAGGTGCCGGCATCACATGTGTGTGACGCACGGGATTTTCCAGGTTCGGGGATCCACATCTTCAGTCCAGCGTCCGTCCAAAGGAACGCCTGTCATCTCCGCCAGGGCCACGGCAATTCTTGCCTTCTTTGCACGTGCCGTCGCAGTAGCTCTGCAAGAGAGCGAGAGCTCACAGGAAACTTGCTGAGTGCCCTTCAACTACGAAAGCTATCGATACTAACAGCATGGCCTGAAGAATAAGTGACGCTGCCATCCACACTCTTGGGTACCCCCATTGAAGCATCCCAAAGCCCCCTGCTGCTTGTCTGAGCCGAGAAATAGTGTTCGCATCTGCATTCAACTCTCATCACTGAATGTGCACGGGACTCAAGGTCTAGTAGAGCTACAGGGCGCGAGCTTCAGATTGAAGACGATGGAATGCTTGAGTCCAAAGCATATGACAGGAAAAGGGTTGGAATGGACCCCAGGAAACGATCCTGCGTGCTTTAGGAGCAACTGCAGGGTACGTCGAGCTCATCACACTTGCCGAGCTTATTCGCATAGAGAGACAGCTGTCTAGGGCTTGTATGCCAGTTCACAGGGGTGCGAGGAATTACCTCTGCATTTGCAAAGGATACGTGATCAACTTCGAAAGGGGTTTTTAGCCTTTTGTGGGAGAGACTTTAATCAATGCTGGCAGAGCTGGTCAGGATTCCACATGATGCCACTACAAAGACGCACGAAGTTAGCATGCCAAGTCATAAAGTGAATGGTCCCCGTGTCCCACAAACCCGCAGAAGCAGACTTTTGGCTACTCACCTTTGCCAAGCAGCTCAAACATTCATTGGTCGCGGCAGGACAAGGGCTTTATGCCGGAGAGCCGTGCGAAATGGCTGCTATTGTGGTTGTTGCTTGGTGGGACCTTGAGCGAAATCCAAGGTCCAAACTCGGATCGGAACACATCGTTCAGGGCTCACTTTTTCGATGGCGTACGGGCAACAAGCGACGGTCTACAATTGCCAAGGTCCAAGGCTTCGTCAGCAGCTCCCAGCATTGAGCCCAAGGACATGAGGCCACTGGAGGTTGAATGCATAAGACACCGCATTCTGATCGAGCAATAAGCAACGCTGATTTCTTAGTATAACAATGGAATAACGACGGATACTCGGAAGTCCAGAGGCCGCAGCTACCGTGGACGAGCATTGTCCAACCACAGACCCCGTGGTTAAACAACAGCCGCTGCAAGTTCCGCCCGTTTCGCTTCAATCCCTTCCTCAGCACGTTCGAGCATGATAGCCGATAGCTAGAAAAATCCGGGACTGACTGAAACAAGGGCTCCGTTTTGCTGCAGATTCACACGAGCAGGAGAACCTACATGACGACCCTGCATTATATGAATATGGTTACAGCATCAGTTCAGGGTTTCCCGGTCCGAGATCCATGAAGATGGCTTGTTGATGAAACATTTGAGGCTGGGAATTCAATTTTCTTCGTGAAGAAGTGACTTCAACGAGCAGGTACTGTAGAACGAAAGAAGTGCAAGTAGACCCGTCATAATCACAGCTGTTAATGCCTTTATACTCTTCGGTTCTCAAAAAGCAGCTGGTGATGACCTCATCCACGACAACGTTGAGTGGGCTCCTACCTGCCTTGACCATCGTGCCTTGCATAAATGCGTCGTTTTGCGTTTTCTGGCTTGGGGACACCCTTCCCACTCGCCGAATACTGAATCCAGAGCCGCATGTGTCCGGTGACAAGTTGACAAAGAACATGCAGCAGCATACAACATTATCAGTACCTCCGCTCTGTGAAAACTTGAAAGTCGATGTTTGAAAGCTGCAGGTCAAGAATCGTGTATGTCTCGAGCATGGTGGGCCCCGGTTTCCGAGAAAAGGGTTGCTACGAGCCGGAGGTTTACATGATTCTGACAGGCCCAAACATGCTGGTGTCTCCAGGTTCGAATGGTTATAAGAATGGTGATGGGTCATGGTCGAACGCACTTGCCAGGTTTCCTCCCAAGCTCAGTTCGTCTCGTGTCATCTCGCGAGGAATTTGGAGCTTCGAGCAGCAATCTTTCTCAAAGGCAAACTCTTGCCAGCCACCTCTCATCGGTTCAGTTCTTGCCACCAAGGCTCTGTCGCCCGTTTAGGTCCTGTACGTGTGCACACATTTATGAGCATTTATTTTGAGTGTTTCCGTGATTTGTCCTTGAAACTTTTCCCCCCAAAACCAGCCATTCACTTACAAGTTGGCTGTCTCTGCCAACAAGGGTCCAGTAAGCACCCTTCGATCAGACAACTGATACATCCACCGAGTTCAGACTAGAGAAGTAGGGCTTGCAGATTCGAGGAACTAGGGAGATGCCCTGCTTGCTCGCAACCGTCTGCTAGGATCCCGCTCACAGAACCTGGGCTTTGCGGCAGGCGCTGTCATATGCATAGCAGGAACGTGGCCACTTTTCTGCCAAGTTCCTGCAGTGTGCGACAGGCACGCGGATGCCCTCTGCTAGCGTGACAGCGTGACATAGTTGAGCCCCGGAGCACCAACACATGACAATCTGATGCAGAGCAATGGCCAAACATGGCCGCACTTTCTTGCCACTCGCACTCGCTCAAGTCAGGCGTGGTTCCGAGTGAACACTAGCAAACCACTGGCAACTGCTTGCAGCTCATCGCGAGCCAGTTGTTCACATGCACCAAGGTTGTGATTGTAAGTTCGTGGGAGACATCCGCGTGTTCAAAGGTCCACTACCGTGGACCACAAAGCCATCTTCGACGTGCACCTTTCACCGCTCTGCCCTGCGCCGGATCATGAGGTCGGAGACCGTTCGCCGCACGGAGCCTGAAATCCGCTATTCAACAAGCGAAATATGGCGAAGTTGTCAGTGCCTTGGGCTGACACTGAATAAACGCAGTCTATCATCTCTGTCCCTGCGTGGTTGATGTATGTTAGTGTATGTTCGTGTCAGGTCGAGATGGGTTCGACTACCAAGGCTATTTGCATGGTGTCTGTTGGGAACTTCCGACGAGTGACAGTTTGCCAAGCTGGCCCGCAGTGAAAGGACGCAGGAGGACACGGTGAAGGCGCTGGTGGCCCTTGCACCATGCTTCAAGTAGTCTCGGTGTTTCGCAAGTGACCAAGAAGGTCTGCTCGGGCTTATGGCACTGGAATGTGCAATGTATAAGCCGCCTCTTCAGCTCGGCTTGAAGACTTTCTGAGAATCACTCTTGAAATGAGACGGAAGCCTTAGGTTGATGGATAGGCCAGGCAAAGTCACAAATACTGCCATATCATGTGCACCGAAAGTGAACAGATTAATTAAGCACGTAGGGCGTGCTTACAAGAGCTCGCGCCACTGGAGCTCACATGTGAGCCCTCGATCACTTGCTGGGCCAAGTGAAACCTTTGTCTGCTCGGCCACTCACACCGGAAAACGCCAGGACGGTATGCCTGCAAATACGACAACTTTGAAAAGCCCAATGACCGAAGCCTGAAACAAAAACGGCACAGAATATGACGAAAAAACAGCCGGTGAAGCCTGGCATAGCGCAAAGATCGCGAATCAGGCAATCGCGCTCCAACTCAGCTGGGACACGTGTTCGGGCTTCCCCAAATTTTGTTTGACACTGAGCACTATGGATCCTTTCTGACGTGTGAGTGTGTGTGTGTGTATGTATATATACAACATATTCATATACATACACACATTGTACACATTCTGCATAACTACTACATGTGTATATATATATATACACACACATGTACGTTCCTTCACAGATCTCGGTCTGCAAGCGCGACAGTTCTGTGACCTTCGCTTCACCGTGCGAGGAAAAGTTCGGAGAGCCGAAAGAATCCAGAATCCACAT